GCCCCAGCCCTGAGCCCCTTCTCACACTCCTAACCCCCCAGCGCCACCCCCGCCTCATGAATTTTGTTATGTGCACCAATGTGGAGGTGATATGTCACACATCACCTCCATATTGGTGCACAAAACACAAATTTTTCTGCACCCATGTGGGAAAAAGTAGAGGGAACACTGGTGGTATTATTATTACAATTTAGGTAGCACTAAAGAGGTTTCATTTTTAGTAAAAAGAAAGGGTGCAAGGTTCCTGTGCCAGGAAACTGGAAGGTGTGCTTTTTCAGATAAGATATAAAACAGCGGTCATGACAGTTCTGGACAACTGCGCCTGTATTTCCCCTCTGTGGTCCCTTAGGGCACCAACTCTCGGCTTGTGGCTCCTCAGCCATCACCTGTCTTGGATTGAGACCTGTGTGTCTCTCCCTTCCGACCAACGTTTTTCCAGGCTGCTCAGTTCCCTGCTTACACTGTGACATTCCCAGCAAGCCAAACTGCCTAAACAGGACAGCATCTGTGCTTTGCTTTCTCTTCCAAGGCTTATGAACAATATAATTGCCAGCAGTTCTAAGTTACCACATAGCCCTTTATAAGCAAGCACATTTATTTTTAAGGTGAAAGCAGTCAAGAAGTTCGCCAATGTATATATTAGGTGTAGTATACACCATGTTAATAGGTGTTATGTGCATGATATTAATTTAATATTCATAAGTGTGGTGAAGTTAATCTAACTGAATGTATTATTCTCTTCTCACCATTCAGTTCACTCATGTCAAGTATCCCACAACACTCTGCAAAACTGAAGTCAGCTTTGGAATTAGAAAATAAGAAACTTGTGAAAGCAAAGATTCATGAATACTTTGTACCAAGTATAATTAAGGAGTACTTTTATGGCTCATCAACACTTTGACTGTAGTATTCAAAATAAGAGCTGGAAATTTTAGAGAGGTACCTTCGCAGACCAGTACCTGGAATGCTTGTTTCCAAAATAAAGATAAGAAAGGTACAGAACAAGAAGTTAAGGAATTAGTGCAAACTGGTGGGTTGGATATTAGTGACATATAAGAGTGTTGTAACTTGTAAAATCATGCTATAAATACTACTAGCTGAAACTCATTTCTTTGAAGCACACCTATGTAAGGTGAACACACAGTGAGAACTTGCTTCCCAGAGGGAGGGTATGTATGCCTCCTTTTTGTATTGTATTGCTTTGTCTTTAGGCAATAAATGTGGCTAAATTCAGTTATTTGGTTTCTTGAACATTTGTAAGAACAAGCCGTGAGTGTAATCAAACAATTGACTACAACTTTTAGACAATACCGAGAGAACATATTAAAAAATAAAAGTTCCTATATGCATGCTAAAAGCTTATCAGAGGTAACCTTCAGTTTATGGGCCTCAATAGATCAAAGTCCTTCCAACCCTTCCCAGGAAGAATTGGGGCCTCCTTTGGACAGAAGGTCCTGTCTGTTTCCTGGATGAGAAAGAAGGCTCTGAGTCAGAATAGACTCAGATTCTTTATTCAAAAGTCCTTTTTGTCTGTTGGTCTCTGGAGAATCCAGTTTGAAGTAGTATATGTGAGTCTGTCCAGGTGGTGGTACTTCTCTGGAGGTGTACCTGAGTACATTTGCCTAATCACCCCCTACTGTTCTTAGTTCCTGGAGGAGCTGTGGTCACCCTCTCACATGGAATTATGTAGAATCCCTGGCACACAATGATACATAAACTTCATACAGTAGGTTTTCCCAGATATATTGCCGGAGATTGCTACATCTTCCCCTTAAAGAACTGGATGACCGACATCCTACGGAAACCCATTGACTTATTTCCTGGACAGGTTTATTTCTGTGGATGGTGTTTCTGCCATTACCTTTCATAATTTCACATTTCATCCTGGTCTGCAGGCACCTGGATCATCTGTGGCAGTGATGCATTAGGGCTGGACAGAATGTGGTTGCTGCCTCTGTCAGCTTCTCTCCGGCCTTCTTCCTGGGAGTCGGATCCAAGATTTCCCCTGGTGGGCTGGATGTGTCCTGCAAACCATCATTTCCTGCCCCCCGTCATCAGCATGCTGCAAGTTCACGAGCTGTACTGTTGTCTGATCCTTACTGCTGAGCTGCCTTTCTTTGCATAGCTCAAGCATCTTCAACTGTTCATAATTCATTCTCCCTGTCTCTCTTTTCTCTCTTTCTTTTCCTAAAAGACTGAGACTTTTCTCTGTGCTTTTCCCTTCCATGGTACTTGCTTTCACTGCTGTTGAGACTTATGGTAATTCACCCAGTCATAGATCCCACACATGCTGAAACCCTATATGTCACAGTTCAGGGCAGTGGCACCTATATTCTCCCCTTTATGGTTCCTCGAGGGTGCCAACTCTAGGCTCCTTAGCCATCACCTCTTTTAGGTAGAGACCTGCATCCAGGGTTTTTCCAGGCTGCATAGTTTCCTGTGATATTCCCACCAACCGAGACTGGCTAAACAGTCCAACATTTGTGCTTTGCTTTCTCTGCGAAGTCTTACAATAATGTAATTGCTCAAGTTATGAGTTACCACACAGCCCTTTATAAGCAAGCACATTTATTCTGATGGTGAAAGCATTACAGAGAAAACATATAAAATAATTAAAGTTCCTATACGCATGCTAAAAGCTTATTTGATGTCACCCATTAGTCTTATGTGGCCTTAGTGATTGGGGTCTCCTTTGGTCCAATTGCTAGATCAGAAAGAAGGCCTGAGTCAGTGTAAACTCAGACTCTTTACCCAAAAGTCCTTTCTTTGTTTGTTGGTTTCTGGAGGATCCACTCTGAACTAGTATACGTGAACCTCGACAGGTGGCGGTAATTCTCTGGAGGTGTTACAACCTGAGTGAATTTGCACAATCATCCTTTCCCCTCTCCCTCCCCCCACACTGTTGTTAGTTTATGGAGGAGCTGTGGTCCCCCTATCCCATGGAATTATGCAGAATCCCTGGCCCACAATGATATTTCTTAATAGAGCAAGATGTCCCAAAGATATTGCAGGAAGTTGCCATCTGTGTCACAGTGACCACTTGCGGTCATTGAAAGATCCCATAGCAATTTCAACAAGATGAGTCTGTTTTCTGACCAATTTTCAATATGGGAAATACACTCTGGCTCCCTAAATTCCTCATTGACTTCAATGGAAACTGAGTTACACCAATACAGAGCAGTGTGGAAATCTCATTGTGTGTATGCGCATGATATAATTATTAATATACTCTGAATATTATAGCAGAACTCACGTTCAAAAATCTTCAGGTACTGCAGTTCCTTTACAGTGTGTACAATGGCAAAAATAATGAGGTTTGATGAAAATGGTGATTGAAAAGAAAATTCACTTTCTATTGGATATGTACCTAAAATTGGCGTTTTATTAAAAGCGGGCTGACCTATGTGGTGAAATGCAGAAAATGCTATATAAATATATGGAAAGCTGTGTATTCCACATAGTTTTAGATGATCGTACCTACATGAAATTGAAATGCAGATGAGCTGATTAAGATCTGATATTCATTATACTTTAGTATTGTCTGGCAGAGTTCTGTATAATCAGACATGCACAACATGCTTCCTGAGCACTTTCACAAAGCCTTGACTGTATAATGACAGTTAAAGTGCATCTTTTCCAATAATTACATGGTCTGCATTCGGTCTGGGCTAATAAACTTCAGGACAACTTAAATTCCACATTTTAATATTAGAAATCCATTTAATTATAAGTAATCTTCAGATCTGTATGTCACCTATATTTGCATTTATATTCCTCAGTGTCTCTGCAATATAATTTTCTGTTTATTGTCTTGAGTATGCACCTAATATAAATCTACAATTTCACGTAGGCCGTGCTGGCACACAGCCAAGCCTTTAATTTATCTCATCCTTGTTTTGTAAACTAAAAGAGACTGCTGGTGTGATTAGCAAACATTCCATAAGCAGGGCTGAGGTGGTAGCTTGAACAAATGACAATACAGGTAAACAGGTAGTAATCTCCAGATGGGTTTTTCTAGAAACAAAAACTGTTAAGATATGCTGTTCCCTCATGTAATATTCCTACGAGGTATCTGCCAGCAGTGGGCTTTTTCCCCCCTGGAGGTGGAGAGGCTATCAAAGAAGGTAATTCCCAAATTCACAGTCTGTTCACCACAGGGGAGTAAGTAGCCAAGTAGAATCTATTGCCCTTAGGATTTTTGCCTGTGCTGATTAATTGTTTTCCATTCTAGACTATCATATTGGTAAAATATTTACATTATGTATGATGAAAATCTGCTAGGAAATGAATCCACACAGTGTTGCTGCCTTTTGATTTTCCTTGTCTCTGAAACATTACCATGGTTTTGGTTTACTCTTACTTTTCTCTCTATCCCTTGCTGTCACACTCCGTAATTGGGCTAATAAAAGGTAGAAACAAGGATTTATTATACCTTGAGCAATACTTAAAACAAACTTTTATTTGCTGGAACAGCACTTTTTATCTGTTTGCTGCTGTATATTTTGACACTCCCTCTAAATACTAAATCTGACTTTATTAAAAGTTGAATCACTGCACTTCTTTTTTCTGTGTGTACGGGGTTGTCATTGCTTTTTTTGAGGCAGACTAATATTTCTATATAAATAAACATTTCATTTTAATGAAGCTTTAGGAGACGCATTCAAGCAGGGGCTATATCGACTTCATTACTGTCAATCCACAAAAGTTGCATGATTTAAAGAAAATATTCTGTAATACTTTTGTAAATTAGCCTTGGAATAATTCTGGCAATGACTAGAGTGAATACAGATTTAGGGTTTTTATAACCTTTTCCTCTAACAAAAGGTATCTTTTTATTCAGAGTGGTTTGATAGAGAAGAAAACATGTTAGTTAGTCAGACTTCATTGGGAACTAAATTCTGACGTTGAATTTGTATTTCATCCATATAGCAGACCGTAAAATGATCAAGGAAATAATTTTTAAAAATTGTCTTAAGAAATTGCAATACAAATTCCTGAAATTGTTTATGCAGGAATTTTTATTTTTTTTTTTATCTTCCAGTGTTAAAGCAACAAGAAAACATTTAGAATGTCCTTTGGTGGAATCTTATTACACTTGTTATATATGTAAACTGATATTCTTTGATGCCAGCACGTTGCCCATACAGAGAAATCTCTGCACAATTAAATGAAAGGAGAAAAGAAAAAAAAAGAAAGATTAAATAAAAAGTAGTAATTTTCTTATCTGATTACAATTAAATACATTAATAAATTGTCTGGTAACACAAATTGTCAATAATACAAAAAATCTACATTGTACATTATTTCAAGAAAAATAACTTCATTTGAATACAAAAGGATAAATACACTTTTTGTCCTATAGCCACTCTTGTACAGTAGATGAACACAGCATCTTACTGATGCGGTGCTGCTAAAATATACAAGGATATGACTGTCTTTGAGTTTTATTGAGGGGGGCTGTTACACATGTGCATCACTAACATCAGACAAAGAAACCTTTCAACCAACAAGGGTTACAGAGCAATGTTCACTAAAGCACAGGTTGGAAGGGATTTAGGGACTGAAGCAGGCCAATATGGCAGCTTTAACAGATTTCCTTATACCCACAATGCACTGACAGCAAAGAATGCCTCTATTTGGTTGGTCCACACACTGGGCAGAAGTACAGTAGCGCACCATATCAAAGTGGCAAATGTTTTTTATTTTCCATTTTGGGGACTTGTCAAAGCCTTTTCAATCCTTTGTACTCTTCGCAGCTGGCGTTGTTTGTAGTAATAGACTTGGCAGCTGCCAACTTGTCTTGAGTCAGAAATTAACAGTCTTTTGACTCAGAGTGCAGTCCACAATTGATTAATATGGCTTAGTTCAGTTGGGCCTTCTTAGTTTATATGTGGTTTTATTCTTTTTCTTTTTTAAATTTTAGTAGCAAATGCTTGGGTTTTGTTTTGCTTTTTGTGGCACATTCCTTCTGAAGCAGTCTGAACGCGATGCCATCAACCAGACGGAGCCTAGAATATGAAAAGCCCAGTTACTCCTAGTAGAGCAGTCAGCGGTAATAGAGGGCCATGTGATACTGCCACATTGCCGGAGTTTTGGCTGCAGCCTCCTGGATCCCTTTCACACTTCAACTTCTCACACAAAATGCCAGTGTAGGCTGGAGGGCACTGGCATCGCATGTTTTTGAGGCATGTTCCTCCATTCTGGCATTGCAGTAGTTCTTTGTCACATACATTTGCTGTAGGACAAGGGGAAAAATAGAAGAGCAGAATAAGCTTAAGTTCATTTGTTACAGAAAGCTTTGAACTTAATTTTTTTTCTCGCCTTAGAGATGTAAATAGATATGTGATTCCAGTTTCCAAACAAATGCAGTTTACTATTTTTTCTCATTTAGCTATTTTCCCATAATTTTTTTGCTGTAATCTGAGAGAATATTATCTTCCACTTCAGACAACTGAATACGAAGTTACTTACTACCAGCTGTTTGTCAGTGCCTTTATTATTATTTATTGAACTGGAATGCTTTGTGAAGTGCCATATTTGAAAGGCCAATGTGTATGCTAACATCCCAGAGCTCTTGAAAAACATTAATGGCAATTAAAAATGCAACACGATGAGGTGAAATGAATAGAACTGTATGAGAAACAGAACTGCCCATGATACTGAGTGACTTTTATGTATTAATGTTCTGGAAGGTCAACAAAAAGCAGTAGGGGATATGGCATGGGAAAGTCAGCATGCTCTATGGGTGTTAAATGATGTTAGTTTAAATTCACACACCATGTCAATGTGAGAAGAGAGAGAAAGGGCACCATTTTCATTACAGACCTACATATTTCTTCTTAATTGTGTATGGTGCTTAGGTACCAGGGTGATAGACACTTTAGAAATACCTAAGATATCTACTGAAGATAACGAGGAACGGTCACTAGGCCTTTTCTTTCCATTAATTAAACAAAACTGGATTGAAACATTCCCCTATAAGGGTGTGTACAGGCATACCGTGCTATTGTCTCACTGTAAATTCTAGATTATATTATAGAGTAGAATATGCTATAGATTATATTCCCATTTTAATAGAATATTTTCAGATTCAAAAGCCAGAAGGGACCATTGTGATCACTAAGTCTGACCTCCTATATAATACAGACCATAGAGCTTCCTCCAAATAATTCCTAGAGCAGATATTGGTTTATTTTAGTTTTACATTAAAGAGGACAAAGGGACTGATCCTGCACTTCTAATTTGGGCAGAATTCCCATGCAATCATTAGGAATTTGCCCTGAGTAAAGGAAAGCATGATTGGATCTAGGGTGAGGCCTCCAGGATTTGGAACAATGTTATATATTGCTTAAGCATGTAATATCCAGGGAACACACTAAAGGAGGCAAGGTAGAAAAACAAATTATTCTCAGTCTTTCCGCTGTGAGATATGCTAATTGTTCTTTACATTCATAGATTTATAAATGGTTCACTTTTTTAAATGTAAAAATACCATGATAGCTGAAATCCAAACAGGTGGCCCAGATTCTCAAATGTTATTTGGTAAAGCTCTCTGTCATAGGTTTACCAAGGCTATGTGGTGATTTACATCAACTTTACACAGGTCTGGCCCAAAGTGTTTCTAAAAATGATTTTGATTTGTCAAAAAACAAGTTATTTTTTATCTACTCCCCTCTTAACACCATCCCCTTGAACCAAAACAACAACAAAAAAGTCCAACCATCCCAAACACCAAGAGTTGTTTTCACCCTTAAATGTCCTTTCTCACATATAATCACTTCTAATTCGGTGCATACAAAGGAGTCAAATGCTGATGTTGGTGCGCTTCCTATCCAGCATGTAATAATATGAAAATAACCAAAAGGCAACATCTACCCAAGTGTTTCTCACTTGACACCTTTCTCAATTATTCTTTCTTTTCAACCAATTGATATAACATTGCAAAGCATCTACAATTTCTGTTCAGTAAGTGTCTCAACTGATTATTAAAGTTCAACTAATGCAGAATATTCAAGATATCATGAAGAGGAAGACTGTATGTCTGCATTTCAGTGTTCTTTAGTATAGTACATTGGGCTATTTTTACATGATGAATATAAACTAACAGGAATAATAAACAACAAAATAAATACTGCATACAATGGTACCAAATCCAGAATGGCAAACTAAATTTTTCAACATTCAAAGTAAAATTGAATATTTGGTTATGTCTGTTATAATGAAAAACAAAAATGTTTATATATAATCATACAATTTATGTAGTGTTAACAATCATAGCAATAGCAAAGATCAAATAAAAAGTACTGTCTTATTTAAAGATAAAGCTGCTGGCCTTTGCTTATTCTAATGTAACAAGCCTCTAACATTTCCTTTGATTTGGGCAACAGTGGTGGGGAAATATCTATTCCATCAATATTAATCATTGTTGGCCTTAGAATAATTGAGTAGAAATCAATAGTTAATTAAATACCCTTTTTACATAGAAGATGAGATCTTTTTTTCTTAATGTTTGGTTTTGAATCCAAATTAGGTATATACCAACACCTTTGCCTTTTCCAAGTAGCCAATTAAACAAGTTTATTTGCCTACATTTTCTATTAAAAAAGTTTTTTTTTGACAGACACTCTGATTTTTAAGATAGTCTCTGATCTTTTGCCCCTAGTTTTCTGGGTGTGAATTATTGTGGTAGCATTCCACAGTACATTCACTGCTAACTCTATCTGATCTACAGACACAATGAAGCACTTAGAAATTCTAACTGCTTTAAAATATCCCCACAATAATTTGCACTTACAAAATTGCGGATGCAACATCACATAGGATGCTTTTCACAATTAGGCCCAATATCTCACATTATGTCTAATGTTGCCTTAAGTCATCAAACAAAGTGCTGCATAAAAAGTTTCAATGTCAATGCTTTTTTGTGTACTCACAAAGACCACATAAAAAGGCTAATGAAGGTAGACAAAGGCATAGTCTAATGACCTGAGCAAAGTACTAGGAGTTAGTAATTCTGAGTTTCTAATTCTTGTAATGTCCGTGACTTCTCTTATGAACTTGGCAAGTTATTTCATTTTTCTTAATTTTCTCATCTGTAATACATAGATAATAATTAGGGTTGCTTTGGAGGATGGGGGCAAACAGTTGTGAAAGTTTTCATGCTGGTTTCTGTTAATTTTATATTTGTTTTAATTTTCCAGTCAGCTCTAATACCCTAACCTACATCACAGCGGTGTTGGAAGGAAAGATGCATTGTTTGCAAATGGCTTTGAAAATGACAAGCCGCATCTACATTCCAATGACTGTTATATATGTTGCTACTATTTTATTGACTTAGGACCTGCATTAACTTCTGATAATGTTTCCAGCACATAAGTTGCACAAAGCTATGGATCTGTACTTGAATTGTGACCAAAGTTGCTCATTTAACTAAGCCTAGTCAGCATGATGCAAAAACCAAGAGAAGGGCAGATACGTTAGTTATAGTTAGGAAAAAAATTAAGAGATTTTCCAGTCTACTATGTTTTAAATGTTAAATGCAATATTTTGCCAGGAGAGTCTACCCTGACACTTGTATTATTATGTACTTGCTCTCTATCAAACAAACCCAATGATAAACAATAATAAAAATTTAACATCCCCCTCCCAACATTGTGAAATGAACAAGGCTCTATTTGTTCTTGTTTCTATTAAAGAAATGTCAAGGTGGAAACAATTGTATGTATTAGGCTAGGAATAAGATCCACAAAGTACCCATCCAGCTACTTTAAATTGGTGGTGGTTATTTTCAGAGTTTGTGGTACCATCTTTTGCTTCTATTTATTGACATCATTCAGATAAGCCACGCCTTAGTAAGAGGTCTGCAGTCACTCCTGTGGTGAGAAAAGGACTATATGGAATGTCTTGAATATAACTATGTATGGCTTTCAGAGTCCAGAGTCAAAGCTTTGCCTGAGCAATGGATTTTCCTTTTTATTTTTTCTTCCAAGTATCAAAACAAAGGTACCTCAGTAATAACCTGGCAGATATCTGCTGGGCTGCCGATTCTGTCAAACTGTGGTGGATTTTTTGCTAGTGCTCCCACATAGGACGAAGATGATCCCACCAAGCTTATATGCTTACCCAGAACTGTAAATCAGGGAACAAATTCACTGCTGGAGTAATCAGACACAACTCCATTGCCCTTAAAAGATTAGTTATTTGCTTTTAGTGTTGGAGGCATGGTGCAGTGTGTAAAAAAACATTAAAATGAGTCATTTTAGGCAGCTTCGATACAGTAGAACCTCAGAGTTACGGACACCTGGGGAAATGGAGGTTGTTCGTAACTCTGAAATGTTTGTAACTCTGAACATGCTTTATGGGACTGGGCGGACTACTCAGAGCAGGGCTTGCAGCTCTGCTTTGGCTGCCTGGCGAGTGGAGGTGGGGACAGGCAGCTCGTTCTAGCCCCCTGGCTGCAAGGGTGGTGAGTGAGGCACCCTGGGGGCACTGCAGTGTCAGTGGCTGCGTGGTGCAGGCTGTGGCCCTTTAAAACTGAGCTGCTTCTCCAGAGCGCAGTGTGCAGGCAGGAGCACAGGCTCCAGCAGCTTGGGCTTCAGCAGCTTAAACTCCAGGCCAGGTTTCAGCAGCAGCTCAGGAAATTTATTTCCCAGCTTGTCCCCCTCGCAGCCGGGGGAGGGAGAGGGGAAAACGCATTCACTACCTCCTACCTCACGAAAGCTCATGCTCAAATAAATTGGTTAGTCTCTAAGGTGCCACAAGTACTCCTTTTCTTTTTGCGAATACAGACTAACACGGCTGTTACTCTGATACCTCCTACCTGTGACTGCCCCCTGCTGTGGCGAGTAGAGGTGGGTGTGGGAACAGGCAGTCCAGTTGTGCCTATCTTTAAGATGCAGAACAGGCACAGTAGAGTACAGTGTTCGGGTTTTTTTTGTCTCCGCTGCTGTCTGGTCACTTTCTTCCAGTTCCCCATTGTGTCCAGTTGACAGTCAGTCTGTATCTCTGGTGTTCATATCTCTGAGGTTCTACTGTATACACTAAGCATTCACAGATGACTTTTCAAAATGTGATTTATACTTGACATCTAAAGCTCAAAACTTGATGATCCTGAAACATCTCAATATAACTTCTAAAACTTGCAAATGTTGTTTGGTTTCTAAAGAACACAGTGAGACAAGAGATTTTCATGTGGAACTCATGATTAATCACATTCAGAAAACAACCTCCAAAAGG